GAGAAAGAGAGAGCCCTGGCCCCGCCGGAGCGCGGCTCTGCGCTGGAACGGGGCAGCCCGGCGCGTAACTGCGGGAGTGGGGCGCAGGGAAACGGGGCCCCGTGTGCGCATCCTGCGGGCGGCTGTTCCCGTGCGCACCGAACGGAGAGCAGATCGGGGGATGGACACCGCGACCGCGCTACCTGTTCCTTAAAGTCGGGCTGACCTTTATAATGAGTTTCCTATGTGGGTCAGCAGCCGGTCCTTCTCCGATACACCGAATAATCGGGAAATTAGGCTGTAGTAGCCTTTTTAGGGGAAGAGCGTTATTTGGGGTACTGTGTGGATCGTACATAATGTGTTACATCGGAGAGAATTTGCACTGTAAGCTCTTCATTTTAAACGTGTAGTGATATGGTTAAGAGCACTCGGATGTTTTTTAAAAAAATCAATGGATTCAGATCTTAATGGGTTTGGAGTCTGATATAGCTGTTTTGTTTAATACCTTGCTGCACGCTGTTGGAGTGGGAAGTCAGCTAGCAAAATCTGAAATTCATGCTTGTATTCGTGAACTGAATCTTCAGTCAGATCTGTTGGTTTTTCCTGGAGAAAATGAAGGCAAAGAGCTAGGTTCACTCAGCGGCTTGTGGGGAACCTGGCACTTCTCCTGTTAACTTAGAGGTGATCAATCTTCATTGGAATCAGGCAGACCATCACGGAAAACACACAGCCTGTTTGTCTTTATTATTGGGGGCTTTGTTGTGTCACGGGCTGGCGAAATTCCAATTTGGACTTTTGTCCAACAGATTTGTGATCGAATGGGGATAAGTTGATGACATTTCCAACCTAGAGCCATGAAATAGCATAATTACCGGGTGACTTTTGAGGAAACCAAGTCTGTGAAATAGAAAAAAAAAAAAGTGTGCGAGGTACTGGGGAATATTGACTAAGAGAAACACTGAGGGAGAAATAAGAGAAGTGAAAAACAGAGGAGAGGGAAGGACAAAAGAAAATCTGGACTCTGTTATTTCATCAACAAGGTTATTGTACTGTGTGCATTAAAATGCAATCATCCCATATTGTTCCTCTTGCTAGACCAAAGCTGACTTTTTGACTTTTTTTTTTTCCCCTCTTTACATTTGAGGTTACGATGACAGAGAAAATGATCTCTTTCTCTGCGACACCAATACCTGTAAATTTGATGGGGAGTGTTTAAGGATTGGAGACAGTGTGACTTGTGTCTGTCAGTTCAAGGTAAGAGGATTGATATTTCGTTCTCTAATTCGCTAATGAGAATACAAATCAAGGGTCTACCTTTATTACCTATCACTTGGCAATTTATTTCTCTATGTACGGAGAAGTTAGAGGGAAAACCTGGCAGCGTGTATAAAATACTGGCAGGAGAACCAACTGGTGTCAAGAAGGCGTAAGTTTCTCTCGGAAAATGAGGATGCTGTAGCTTTAAATGTCCCTTTGGGTCTGCAGTTTCAGGTTGTGCATTTCTGATTTTTCATCTCTACCCTTTTAACAAGGATTTAGAGTCCTTTCTAAATTCATTTCTGATACAGATCGTGGCTTATTGTATTCGGAGTTCTGATCTAGTTAAAGAAATGGATCTGTAATGTGCTTATGCAATATTTTCAGGAAGGGCTGCATAGTGACAATGCTTCTGCCTGTTTATCTGCCCAGCTGATCAGATTAAGGAGCAATCCCTCTGTTCCAAAATGATGAACTTCCTTTAGGTTTTATATAGTTTTAGGAGAGCTATTACTGAGTAGTAGGGATTTTTCCTTCTAGTTCTTCTCTCTTCCTCCCATAGCTACATCTAAACCTGAGGCATTCTCAAAGTCAGACTATTTCATTATGAAGGATTCCATTTAATATGTTTTAGCCAACTCACAAAACAGCTGGGCTTTAAATAATGACCTGAATAAAAACTGAACAAATTAAAGGGGTTTTAAGCATATACCAGCACGAGGTTGTATGTGTATTTATGCCTCAGTGATCTTTTGCATTTTAATGTGGATTTGCGAAGTGGTGAAACTTATAATGCTGCTTTGAGTATTTACAGAAGGGCAGGCCAAATAGTGCACAGTTCAAGATCGTGCACATCTGTAATGATTATGTTAATATTGAGCTTTGATAGACTATTCACTTTGAAGCATGACAAGTACTGTGTATGTTTCTAGAGCCAAAAATGTCTTCAGAGAAAAACCCCAAGAAGGATTGTTGTCTAATAAGAGCAAGACAGTTGTTTTCTGAAGTGCTTGTGTTTTCCATGTTGGGAGAAAATTCATATTGATCATGGGAGTTTTTTATTCCATTTGGAGTTTGCATGCAGTCCAAAATTCAATGTGAGAATGCTGTTGTGAGCATTTGCCTTGGCTCAGCATGTGCAGTGATCTGAGGGTTGCTCTATTTTCTCTTTCTAAGAAAAATTTGTAAGGCAGTGAGATGTCTGTGATGTGTCCCATTGCTTGGAGGTAAGCGAGGGCAGATGTTGTGCCACGGGCACCAGGAACTTGGAGAAGCTACTGAGAGTTATTGGGACTTGTCTTTGGTCCCAGTTTGGTGTTGCCATTTGGCATAAAGCAGTGGACTCATAGCCTGGAAGGAGTGAACTCAGATGTTGCTATCGACAGGGAAGAAGGCATTGGGAGCACTGTTTTCCCAGGGCAAGATGCTGGTCCCTGGTGATTTTGGATAAATGAAGCTAAGTAAACCTCTCTGGGCTGTGTCATCTCCTCTTTGAGAAGTGAACGCTATGGGTATGCTGAGTTTAGCAGTTCTGTAGGGAGGAGTTGAAACAGATTTCAGGAAATCAGATAATTAGTGTATGAATATGTTAAAAAGATCAAAAGACTGAGTTGAGCCTGCTTGATCACTAGAAAATGGGTTGAAATCAACCGTAATCTTTGCTTCCAGTGGCCTTTGGATCAGGCCCTGTGAACACTTGACGCTCTTTGTCTTGATATGAGCCCTCTGTGGAGCCGCAGGGCTGACTGTGACCTTGGAGGGCAAATTACCTGTGGCTGATCCTGTGCCAGCGCTGCGAAGGGCGATGTGGTGCCGGGGGCTTCTGTAGTCGAACGCATGTGCTTTGATACAGGCAGAGCTTGGGGGGATGTTAGCTTCTCTTGTAACATCAGTGGACAGTGTGACAAGCCAAAAAGATATGCCACCCGAGTAGAAAATTAACTTGTAGTGCAGTGTCTGAGGCTGGCTAAGTGAGGCAGAGCTGGCCAGGTAATTTATTTCACAGGTAAGGAAGTCCTCCATCAGAACTCAAATCCCCATTTCAGTGGCAACTGTTTGGGGTGATAATGAACAAATCAATAGCAGAATCCTCATAGTTATAACTATGTTTTATGTTTTCTTCAGAATTTGCCAGGGACTTTAACTGCAACTGGAGAGAATAGACGAGGATGAAAAGCTAATTTTGCTTCCGTACTGATGAAGAGTCCTGGGCTGGTGAAGGCAGAAATGGGTAGCGGGGCTGCAATAGTCTTGATCTGGGCTTTTAAAGACCAGAATCGCAGATGCATCATGTCTGTCCGAGTGGAGTTAAAATTAATTTACTTGTATTTGAAAGGCTGAATATGATCAGACTGCTCTGGAACACCTGAGTTAGGCTTCAATCCCTGGAGAGCCAGCGGGCATGTATTGAGAAAGAGGTTCATATCAGCTGGTTTTCTTGTCACAGTCTACTGTGACTCCTCAGAATGAAACATACTGAATTTGAAAACAACATGTTGCACTCTGATTGGGAAATTTAGACCCGTCCCAGCTCAAGGCAAGCCCAGACCTTGGTGCTGGCAGGGAGGGAAGGCACTGGGACAGTGCTGTCTCCAGCAGTGGGGCTGAGCATGGAGGAAATCACCACCTTTTCCTTCCCTCAAACTCAGTGGGTCCAACAGAATGGGTAGAGCTGTGCCAGCAGTCATGTGGTTGCAGACATGCCTTGCTGGGATCTGCACTCGTCTGCCCAAAGCCAAAGGTCTGGCAGCTTGGACTCTCCCTTCTTATATTTCATGAACATATCAAAAAATATACCAGGGTATTTCCATCAGTGTCTTTTCTCTTTAACCACCAGGACTGGGTTCAGTCACTGTTTCTTATGTGAGGAAGGAGTCCTTTTTTCATGCATGTTGAATCTCTCATGCATGTTGAATGTGTTCAGTGTTTATGGAGCTGGAACATCACCTGTCCAACTTGCAGCTTTGTTGTATTTCCGGAATATATTTTTGTGCTACTTGGTTCCAGATGTAGGTGCCATTTTGGGGTAGTTAATCCAGGGTACCAGAAGGAGGTCAAACTTTTAACAGTGTTACCAGGAGGAAGAGTTATACAGGTTACCATGTTCTTTAAAAAAACGAACCATCTACTTTCAGTGTCCAGCACTGACCCAAACACTTGCAAAGCTGGTTTGTCCCTGGCTGTGACACTGGGCACTTGAGGCTGCAAGTGCTGAGGAAGGCAGCCTTTGACTGACACTTGGCTGAATTGGTTGCATCCATTTCCCTGCTTTACAGCTGTATTTTAAAAACTTGGACATATGAGAGAGAAGTGGACAGTGTTGCACTGTGCCGTGAGGTTTAGTGGGAGTTTTGACATGGATTTCCCTGAGTGGTCGATCAGTCCTTACTTGGGGCATGAAGAATCATTCTTACATCTAGGGCTTAGTCTATTGAGCCCTAAACCAATGGCAGAAACACGTTACTAGACTGAGGAAACTGACTTTCAACATCTGATATTCTCCAGTACTAGCAAGAAGTATTTTATGACAGTGAATTGCTGTGAGTATGGGATTTAGCATGGTCAGATGTAAGAGTCTAGCTCTGGTGGGTTGGGAAAAACCTGGTGACTAACATCACAACCTTCTCATTAGTCTTCTTTTCTGGGTAACCTTCACTAGAGTTTCCAGCTCAAAGCCAAGGCAGGATCCATCTGGAAAGATATCATTTCCTTTGTTCCTTGTTGCCCTCACCTTTTTCATCTAAACACTAGTTTTTCGAAGGCGGGGGGGGGGAAGAGTGGGGAGCAGATGAAGAAATACATCTTTGACCAACACAGCTGGAGAAAGAAAAAGCTTCATCATCTGTACTCACCATGGAGTATCTTCTACCTCCACTGACCAAAGCTAAGCTTGAGTGGGGCAGAAGCCACAGGAGAGACAGAGAAATTTCTCCCAGGAGAGTTAATACTTCCTGGAATCCTGGTGTCTCTCAATTACATTTTAAAATTGCTAAACTTTAGAAGAAGTTCCAACCTAGCTCATAGCACTCCCTTCTAGAGCGATGGAGCACTCCTTTCTGTGGATCAGGACTTTCCCATTGATGTAGAGCCGTCTGGCCTTTCAGATCTGCAGCTGAGTCAGTGTAAAAGATCGTCCCTTGCTCTGGGCGAAATCGGTGGAGAAGTTGCCCCTGTTTCTTTGTTTCTTGGGTAAAGAATCCAATATTGTTTCTACTTGTAACAAAGCCTGTTGAGATGCTTCAGGCCAAATTTCACACAAATCCATAGGTGACAAGCAGATAGTGTGTCCAAAGCAAGTACAATTTGATGCTTCATGCTTTAAAAAATATGCACGATTGTGTTAATTGTCCCGGTTATGTATTCCAGATCAGCCTCCAGCAATTGCTGTTGAGATTCTGGATGAAGTTGGCATTTTATGCTTGAAACATTGCTCAGATTTGGAACATAATGGTGAAAATACCCTAGAAACACTTTTAATCAACTGTTTGAAATCTCTGCAAGGAGGAACCCTTTGTTAGGAGCAGGAGGCGAGAATTTTTACTGTTGTGGCTGTTGGTTTTCTTCCTTATTCCGAGGGAAGAGTGCGCTGGGGGTGGGCAGCAGATTGGAAGATTTAAGAAAATACAATGCAAAAGGAAAATGTCATTTGTTTTGGCCCAATCAAAATGTCACTCTGACCAACTATGAATAATTTCTTGGCAGCTGTTCTGTGTGGAGGCCTGCAATTAATGCAATCTATGCAATTGTTTGTGTTAATCGCTTCTGTAGTCATTCAGTTCAAAGCATTTTTGATGTTAATATCCCTGAAATTTCTGCTCTGTGTTTTACATTGTGCCTGACAAACACACCTCAGATACTTTGTGGCATAATATAGCTAAGTAGGATGTATGATTTCTTCTAAATTTTTATTCGGATTTAGGCAGAGGTGAGCATTTGTAAATAATAATTGTGATCATTCCATTTGTTCTAATTAAACAATGAGGCATACCAGGAGTACGGTAATCACGAGATAATCATATCCCTGGTATAATTACCATGTACAGGGCACATCCAAGTATTTCTAAGCCTCCGAGTGTGATTATCTTATGATAACTGCACCCGGTAGGTTGCCCAATTTTCAGTATAAAATGAAATTATTACTTTTTTTAAATGAAAAAGAGAGGGCAAAGCTGTCTTTCAGTGGTAGAGGGAACCAAGCAGGTAGTTTGCAGAGCTCAGCAGGACTATGAGCTGAAGGAGGGGTGTGTGGTGTGAGAAACTTCTTTGCTGAACTCGCTGCAGTGCTGCCACTCCTGCCCACTGGCCACCATGGGGAGAGCTTGGACCTTTGTGGAGCATCCCAGCCACAGCTCGCTGGGAACAGAAATGTCACAGCAGAAAGAGGGATAGATTTTGGTTGTAGGTGCCTCAGAAATAATTTCCCTCTGTCCAGTTAGCTCTAATTATAGCTGAGTACTTAAATAGTCACAGATGCACAGGCAGACACTTGTGTATGTGCAAACAGCAGTGAGGGAGTGTGTGTGCAGGAAGAGGGGAAAGTGAGCCTGCTCCTTACAGTTTGTCTGTAGCCATCCAATGGAAGCACATGAGCTGTCATTGCAGATGTGAGGAGCCCTTTGCCTTGCCCATATTCCTTCCCCAGGAATGCACCCTGCTCATTCTGGCAGGGAGAGGCCTCTCTCTGGGCGCTTACTGAACACTTTGCCTGTTCAGATTACCTTTTCCCTCACCTGTTCAAGTCTGATTTGTCTTTTTAAAAATCCCCCTCCCTCTCCCCTGGTAGCTATAAAGGTGAAGAGAGGAGAGTCAGTGTCTCCCTCTCTGTTGTATTCTTAGGGTTTCAATACTGGAAGGGGCCGGGGGGGGCACCCAGAAGGATGCTGTGCCACCTGCTCGTGTGACTAATGCTGCTGCTCTGTGTCCATTCCTACCAGTGTAACAATGACTACGTGCCCGTGTGTGGCTCCAATGGTGACACCTACCAGAATGAATGCTACTTGAAACAGGCTGCCTGCAAGCAGCAGAGCGAAATACTCCTCGTGTCCGAAGGATCGTGTGCGACAGGTACGTACAACGCGCCCCAGGCTGCCTGGGGACCCTGCCATGCCCCCGAGTAAAATAACCTCTGGGTGGCAAAAGCCATTTGGATTCTTGCTTTGAATTCATTGCAGGTTAATTCTTTGCAATCTTGGGTATGATAAATTGCTGCCACCCTTCCCTTTTAAGTAACTTTGTATAGGTTCACAGTCTGTGATACACTATACCAATGACGCTGTTTTGAAGAGCTCAGTGCAGAAGTTGATTTGTGTTTTTTTAATATGTATCTTGTGCTCCTGATCATCCTGTGCCCTGTACTTCTGAGCTCCTAGGACAAGTTATTGGAAGCAGATTAAGTGAGCAGATGTCTGATAAATGGGCATCTGGATTACCACAAACCTCTCCATAATCTGGAGAGAGAGAACTGGAGCATTATTGCCTGCAATCCACTTTCTTAGGTTTTTCCTTATCCTTGTAGGGCCAGATTCCCAGCTGGTATGATTAACAGACCACTGGTTGTAATGAGTCATGCCAATTTACACCATCTGAAGATTTAGTCCAAAACACACTAAATGAACAGGTCTGTGCAACAGGTGTTTTGTTCTGGACTTGTGAAAACTGACTGGCATGTGAGATACCTTTGCTTAACTCTGAGCATCGTGACCTGTGTATATCTCTGCTTTTATGAAGCACCTAGAAAGGTGAACGAGCAAAACCTGTCAGGAAAACTGAGTTGCTTATGTGCAGGAGTTCTTGATGTTTTTCTTTCGTGCTTGGTATCTACTAGAGGTAGGCAGTGAAGTTAACTTGAAAAGAGCAGGAGGAGTAAGTCTTTGTTCTTGAGAGAGTTCTTTAAACTTAAAGCAGAATTTTTTCTTGGCTGAGGATGGAGGAGTCAATAAAAAGTACATTAGACAAACTTTTTTCAGTGCTGTAATTTTGTGTTTCATACACCTGAGAGAAAATAAACTTCTTCCCCTGGAAATGTTGTTCTTCTCTGAAGCTGTTACCTGGCAATTTTCAAGAAGAAAAAAACATATGCTGCAATTTTTTTGTCTATAAATTGGTATTAAATGGAGCTCAGGCTGACAAAGCCTACTGTGGTGTAGGATTTGTTCAACTTAGTAAATTCTCTCAGCACAGCAACTGGTCTTTTTTTGGTTCAAACTTTTAGATTAAAGGGATAATTTCAGTGCATTGCTACAACTTTGCTAACACTTGCCTACTGGCAGTGACTGTGTTGGAAGCATTCTCTTTGAAACATATTGTGGATTTCAGAAACAGAGAAGGGGTAAAAAAAAAAGGGGTTCATAAAGTCTTGATCCAGGTCTTTGGCCTCTTTTTCTTTCTCCCAAGGAAGAGGCTTAGTGGAGAAGGGAGCAGCCATGTGCCTTAGATTTTCCCCATGGGATGGGGCAGAGAGATGGTGCTCAAGAATCCCCAGCAGAGTCCTGACCTTCTGGAAGAACTGGCATTGAGCTGCCCTCCTGAGCTGGCAGGGATCTGGGCACTGAAGGGTAGAGCAGGAAGAGAGACACAAAGTCTTTTCCCTCCAAAGGGCAGATAATGCAGTAGCTCATTGTGGGAGGCAGGTGACAGCAGGCGTTCATTTCTTTTTCTGTGCTGGGGAGACCTGACACACCTGTAAAAGCAGTGCTTCCCAGACCCATGAGGGCACTGTGGTAAAGACATCTTTCTTTCCTCTTTCCCCATTAGCTAACTGGGGAAAGAACATCAGGACAAAAGATGAAATCAGGAAAATTCAGGACATGGTCACGGGGAAAACACCGTTATTTCTGTTCCCTTTTTCAGCCACCTTTTGCACCTGTCCTTTGCAGCCTTGCTGTATAAATCTAACATTTTAAGCAGTTCTTGCAACCAATTATTTAAACAAAGATTTTTCTTTTCATTTTTAATTTTGAGCAGTGATGGTATGTACAAGCCAGTTCAGATCCACCAGACCTTGCTGTCAGTAAACGAGACCTAACAGTTCATAGGGTAATTGGATCCTAAAGCAGCCTTTCCAAACTCTTTCTATTAATCTTGTTGCTGGTAAATGCATGTTTCACTAAGGGGGAGGATAGGATGGCAACCTCCCTCCCTTCCCTACAGAAGAAACTCCTCTTATGCATTATTTTTGGTAACCCTAGGTGTGTGTATTTCTGTACTTGCCTTGCTTAGGAAGTTTCTTAATGAAGCTCTGGGCTTGGCAGTTTTGTGATGTTACACTTTCTAAATTTGTGACTCTCATCATTCCATCCAACAAAATGTTGAGAAGAGGAAAAATAAAGATAAAACACTCAATGTTGAAACTCAGCAACAACCTTGAGAAAAAAGGAATTTTAATCATTTATCTGAAGACTTTGAATAATAGTAATTTAATGGTTTGTTCCAGCTAGCTGTGATCTCATGAGATGTCACTGTTTTGTAAAGATAATGACATGAATTTACAATTGGTCTGTCCTCGAACAAATGGGTTTTAAAATTTCTCCTTGGTGGTGAGGACTTAGTAGTGACCAAGTGAGGTAACTTTGCACAACTGTTGGGAACAAAGCTTCATTGGTCTCAGTACAGCAAAACGAGGCAGAGACTTATGAGGACATTACAGCGTTCCATGGCTTACGTTATTTTTGTCTGATATAGAGACTTTAAAGCAAAAAAAAAAAAATGGAGACATGAAAAAGATGGCTTGAGTTAGCTATATTCAGATTAGATCTCTATAATTTACTCAGGGATGACATCAAACGTAAGGTATGCTGTAACACACCTAACTAAAGTCTTGCTTTGCATGCATACGGGACATGCTGTAGAGCATGAATATAAATTTCTTTCTGTTTTTTTTCTCAGATGCCGGCTCAGGATCTGGTGATGGAGGTAACAGCCATATTTTAATATCTCTGTGCTTCTGTGTATACACATTGTCTTTCACAATTTCAGATTTTAAGTGGATATGCTTTGCAATTTAGTTGTCGCACTACATATTGTCTTTTGTTCAGCTCTTTCTTTGAAAAAAAGTGGTATTTTGCATTTTAGTCAAGTTGGAACCTAATCATGACATGCTGTTTTCTAGGGAAATTCAGAAAGCTGTGTTACTTCTAATAGGACTTGGAATTATTCATAGGTTGTGCTAGGAGCTCTATCTCCATCTACTGTTACAGTTGTACTCATTTGTTTTATGTTTAGGGTAATATTTCTTTTGTTTTTAAAACATGAGCCAAACCCTTGGCTTCTCCTCACTGGAGGATTCAAGCCAAATATTTTGTGGCAACAGAGAGCACTCCTTCAAAGATATGAAGAAATGTCACAGGGAAAGAACAATGTGTTTTTATAAGGACAGCAACGGCAAAACAGAACGCAGAAATAGTCCAAGCCCTTTGTGGCATACAGGGAATACTGTAAAATATAGGCAAACTAGCCTTTAAGTTGGGGGTTTGTTTGGTTTTTTTTTAGTTATTTTTTTTTATTTCTTAGGTGCAGTCATTAATGGATTTGCTTGTTTGACAGCAATCCTTCTTGGAAGTATAAGTGTTGGGTGTGGCTAATACCCTGCCGTGGGGTAGGGAATGTGACTTTTGGGTGCTGCTTGCATGGTGGGGCTGGCAGGTCAGGCTTCTCTGTGAAGGCCAGGGTTATTTTGGATAGCTATGGAAGATTGTCCTTAAGAGTTACCCTCGTTTTTGCCCAAGCTCCCTGAGTAAGCTCTAGGATCCCCATGGCAGGGGAAGGGCAAGGTCAGCATTGGGCTGGGATGCTGCTGGACTCCTCCAGCTGGGGCAGCCACCAGACCTGAGCCAGCTTTCTTCTTAAGACACAGACAGCAGGTCTGGGCTCTTACCCAGTTTTGTGGCTGGTCCCGGTTGGATTCAGGTTTTTCAAACACAGTCATGTTATTTGGCAAAATATCACCTAGTCCTTGTTTAAGTTTGGTACCCAGTATATTAGAGAGTGCAATGTGTACATGAAGTAGTATTTTTACCTATGAAGTGGTCAACAACATGAGCATGAGGGACCTGCACGGGACCTGATTTTCTGATGTTGGACTCAGGCTGTTTTCTGGAAGTCAGGACACTTTAAAATGCTTCAGATCTGGCTCACCCAAGACCATAACATAAAACATTGCTATTAATTTTCAAAAGTTTTTTCCAGCTATTCCTGTTTTACTCCAGGGTCCTCTTAGATTGTCTTTCTTAGCCCTTACACCAGAGAAATTCCTTACTCAGTGCCTATCAGAAATCTACAATTTGATTTATATGCACGACAGTGTTTTCACACTTAAGAGTTGGACCCAAGGATCCTTGTGGGTCCATTCCAACTCAGAATATTCTGTTAAATCTGTGTACTAAGGCGGTGGGAAAACAAACCTGGCCACTTTCTGAAAGTAATGAATTCCGTTCTCAAAAAGCATAGGAATTTGAAAGTGAGGTTTCCAAGCAATTTCATTTTAGAAGCTAAGGTTGACAGAATTCTGATGAGCAGAACAGGACCTTGGGACTGACTGGGCAGGTAGTAAGGAAGCAGATTCCTGAAGGAGAAAGAACCAAGTTGGTACATGTGTTTAAAGGTCTACAAAGCTGCCTTGTATTATTCAAGATTTAGTAGACAGCTATGGTGGTTCTTAAAGTACAAAAGTATATTTATGTGCCCCAAGAAGCTAAATCCAGCCAAGTAAATATTGACACTACATCACTCTTTATTAGACATGGTTTTGTTGTAAAAGCTGTAATAAATTTTGGATGTCATCACAGAAAGTCTTGTAAAATCCACTCCAGCAATCATGAGTGGGATATGCTTCTGTGAGAAGCCAGAGGTCTTAGGCAATCTTTTGTGGTTTCTGTTTTTCTGAAAATTTTCCTTTCTTATGCTTCTCCAACCAGTAGTTGTTAAAAAACTAACCAGTGCAGCATTTTTTTTTTTTTTAGCAAAACTACAGCCATAGGGACGCTCCCAGCCAGCCATACCTATGCCTAATTCAGCAGAATGGGGCTGTGCTGGAGGCTGTAGGTGTCAGAGGTGCTGGGTATGTCTGCAGTGAGGCACCTGAGATACCTTGGGCACTGGGAGCCCTTAGGAACAGTCGTTCTCTGCCTGATTTGCCTGGTTTCTTGTTGTGTTGGAGGGCTGACAGGTCACAGGGTAGCGCAACACTTCAGCATTGCTGTGGTGGTTTCCCCCGTGACTGACACCAGTTCAGCTTTCAGTACTGCTGTTCCCTCAGCGTAGCTCATCACATGAAATTAGAATTGCTAAAGGGTTCAGAAATAGCTGGAAAGGGGTTGGTGCAATGGACAAATGTAGACAAGCACACCATGTGGTCACACAAACCTCTTTTTGTCAGGAAACTAGACAGAGCTTGAACAATACAGCCAGAGGCTGTGTTTTGCTGCCATATTTTCCTTCCACATATTTCCACCTGGGTTTGCAGAGAAATCTTCTCAATTTGTTGTGTAGGATTTGGGATTTTTTGCTTTCCTGTCAGGCACACTGTGATCAGAGAGGTCCCAGCTTCTTAGCACTTCAATGATCTTAAGGGCTTTTCCAGAGGTGATTTAATTCTCCTTTATGCAGCACTAACATACAGAAGTTCCCTAATTTGTGAAGTGATGGGGGGACCTTAATGTCATTTGATTACTGAGCCTTCAGCATGCACTTTTGGGGCTATCCAGTAGATGGGTAAGACAGTAGGTGTTCAAGTTTCTTGCTGCAGAAGACGTTTTTCCCTGTAAATGAAGACGAAAAATGCAGAATCAAGAGCCATTTCTGTGTTTTGATTGCAGAAGCTGGGAGTATGGTGTGGAATTATTTAAAAACCCACATCCCAGAAAGATACTAATCAGAAACGCAGAAAAAGTGAAAGAGTTTATACAGGGAGTAATTTAAAGAGATTCCATTCATTTTCATCTATGCCGTTCTCTAGACAACTGGGTTTTTTTAGAACCCAATGATTCATGTTTTGGTCTTGAGCAGCTTTGTAATGAATTCTTTCTCGTTTCCTGGCTTCCTTCTAAGAGCGACGAACTCGAGATGCAGTATTTCATTATAGCTTTTAACGGGCTGAGGACGTCTCTTCTCGGTTTCATTTTCACACTGAACACATCTTTCTCCCCCCTGCATTGTCTGCACTCTCAGCCCTGTTGATTCACAGTCTGATGGCTTTACTGTGGGTGACTGTCACACCAGGTGTTGCTGTGATTGCCAGCATGGCAGTGCAGGAGCACCTACCTGGAATTACTTTCAGAGCCTCCTTCAATTTCCATTCAAGTCCTACTGACTTCAGTGGGAATTGTATGGGCCCCTGGGTACACAGATCTTATCCTAGTTTGATTTTTATGTTAATTCTTTATGATCTATAGTAAAGCAGAACGAAAAAAGCAAGTCATAATCCATCAATATCATCATCACCATTTATTTTACAGTAGAATCTAGAGGTCCTAATTCTAAGATTAGGACTCCAGTGTGGTACACCCTGATACTGTGAGGCACTTCACAGTGAGGGAGAGAATAAAATCTGTGAAGCAGAGTCTGGATATCCAAGTCAGGCAAAGGCTGGAAGTTGCATCACACTTCAGCATCCAAATTGGGAATAACACTTGCCACTTCAGAGCCAAGCCAGTGCTGGGTCTTTTGAACCACGGTGTTTGTCAGCAGACCCGTATGCCATCTAGAAAGAATCAGAGATTATACTGCTTTAAACTGAAAATCAACAACCTCACAAACCATCTTCTTTTCTCCATCTCTCTGCCTCTCTTGTTTTGTGTGTGTATTTTAAGGATAAGCATGGCTTGTTTGTTTTTTTGTTCTTTCAATTTATCCCTTCAATCTTATCTAGAAAAAATTGAAGTCCTGCAGCTCTTTGTAGGTGCCAACATGTAGATTTAATGATAGATTTAGTATTCTGGTCTGCCTTTCCTGTTGACTTAGAGATGTGTGAGTAAACACATACATATTATAAATCTATATGGGGCAGCAGTCATCTTGAAACACTAACTCAGAGAAAATAGGGAGGAAAAAATTAACACTTTGAATCCTATGCTATTTTTTAAGGCAAACCATAATTCAGCATGTATATCTTTTTTTCTTTAATCAACAGGAAAATGACTACTTTGACCCAATTGAATTTGCATTTGTCTCCATGCTGGTTTTGTATGACTAACTTGAATTCAGCAGCTCTGCTGCTTTTCCAGTGATTTCTGTTACTGCTTTATTACAATGTTGATTAACGGGCAGGGCTGTGCAGAACACAGTGAATATTGCTGTAAACACTGTCCTAGCAATCACACTTGAGCCAAAATGCACCATAAAACCTGGAGTGTATATTGGTTTGAATGAAGCAGTGTATAAAATGCAGTGCTGATAAACACACATATACACACGTGTTCTCAATACATGGGAGAATACTCTGAAAGTTCCAGTTTAACCTCAGAAAGAAAGGGAATTGGTATTTTGAGCTACAGATCCCGTCCCTTCTTTGCCTGGGTGTAACAGGTGATACAGGCTTCTCTCATGTGAATTTAGAATACCTGCTGACCACAGATGCTGTTGTCAACTGCAATAAGGCAATAGGAAAACTTCTTCTACTCTAATTTAATTTGGGAGATATAATTTAAAGCAGCATCAGAAGGTACAGAATCAACTATAAGCAACGTGAACTGACTTGGTAAATACCTCTGGAGGAAATGTTTAAATCTTAAATGATTGACCTGACGGTGGATGGTCAAATATATGTCTCCTTTGTTAAACGGTTTTTTACCTTGTTAACCTCAGCATGGCACTGAGCCCAAACCAATAAGCTCCTTGAAAGGCTGGGTTTATTAGCTCAGGCTCTTCGCTGTCCTAACATGATTACATGACTTCTAGTTCAGGTCTGGTGCACATCTGACCTATATAAGAGTTAGGTCAGGAAAAGGCAGTTAATGTCTCTCCATGGCCTTTAAAACTTCAGAAAGGATGAAGTTCCCATATGTTTTTGTTGACTAGATGAGAAGCACTTGGGCATTCACAAGTGCCAGACTTCTAGGCCCCTGCCTGGAAGGCATTTTGCACTGGTTAGGATGCATTAGCAGTTTTGGAAATCCTAGGAAGGTATGGAGTTGATGGGAATACCAGCTTTTGGATTCCTCTCAGGCTCTCATTTGAGCTAAATACTGAGCTCATCAACCCCGCTTGACTGAGATGTTCCAGCAAATCCCCACAACTCCTGTGAACTTGAAGCTCTCCAGGGTTACAGACAAAGTATCAGTCTGGAAGATGCTGGTTTGAGATTTAGTTGCCTGGGTTCTGCCTGCATTTCCCTTGCTGCGTCTGAAGTTAGCATGCAAAAATCCAATGAAAAATGATGTGTTTTAGAACTGCTTGCCCTGTTATTAATGGGCTGAAGTCTTTGCTGTGTTCTTGGTGTGAGTGCACAGGTCCCACCCATCAAGCAGGCTATCAACACTGAGAAATACCATGGGAGAAAGTTGACCGGTAGTGAATGATCTGTGGCCCATTTTCAGCCATTCATGCAAAACCAAAAAAGAAATGAATAGAAGATGCAGAAGATCCA